TCAGCATATCTTTTAACCTGAGGGCTGTGCCAACCATTCTGACCTGACAGAAGTGGGCTCTCACTGAGAGCTGTCCTTTTTTCATTCTATAACTTTCAGTGTAGAAATGAGAGCGTATTTGCATTTATTTAAAATTATTCATAGCTGGCCCAAGCCAGTGTTACTGAGTGGACTGAGCATAGTCCCATGGACTGAGAGGTCCAGGATTTATTCCCAGTCAGGGCACATGCCCAGGTTTCAGGCTCAATCTCCAGTAGGGGTCGTGCAGAGGCAGCAGATTGATGTTTCTCTCTCACATCGATGTTTCTATCTCTCTCTCCCTAAAAACCAATTTAAAAACATATATATATATATATAAACATTATTCATAGCTGGGTCTGGGGAGACATACAAAGGACAATGGACAGGAGAAAAACTATTTCTTTTTGTTTTTCAGGAGTGCAGACAATGGAATTCTTATGCCTATGATGACTCCCTTGTTCACTCTCCTTTGCTGGTTCTTTTACAGTTCCCCCAAAACTCTAGACTTTGCAATGCATTGGGGCTCAATGCTTTCTTATCTCCTCTCCTCTCTCCACTTCCTTCCTCAGTGTTTCTTGGCTAAAACACCTTTATGGTAAAAATTCCCAAATTTATGTTTCCATCCTAGATCTCCTTCCTCAGTGCGAACTGTCAAACTATCTCCAGTTGGATGTCTAATGGGCATTTCAACTTAACACTTCCAAAATGGAACACCTGGTTTCCCCCCTCACATTAGGTCTTTGTTCATCTCAGTAGGTATCTACATTCCTTTTGTTATTCAAGCCAAAAATCTTGGGGTCATCTTGACTTGATTTCTCTTTTACTCTATGTCTCATTCATCAGAAAATTCAATTGATTGTATTCAAAATATGCAGAATTGTTCCTTCATCTCATCTCCACTACCCTGGTATAAGCCCAACATCATATCTAGGCTGGAAGTAGTCTCCATGGCAATACCTCTAAGTAGTCTCCCTGCTTTTGCCCCTTTAACTGTTTAGTCTGCACATACGGAAACTAGATGGGTGCTATTAAATCTTGCTCAGAGTCATAATTAAAGGCTTTAACCTCCTCGTCAAGGCTCTACATTACACTACCCATTACCTCTCTTTCCCCATAATCTCTCTGATGTCATCTTTGCCTGTTTTGTTTATTGCTGCATTTTTGGTATGTGGAACACAGCCTGCTGCATAATAGGTGCTCTAAGTATTGGTGGAATGCATAAATTCCTCACTCAAAATAGAAAGTGACAAACTAAAAGTGGAATGCTTAAACTCTGGGGCTTTTTGAAGATAAAATCATAAAATCTTTTAAAAACAGAAACAACTCCTAAAGTTCATCTGATTCATTTCTTCATTCTACAGGTTAGAAACTGAGTCTTTGAAAGCTTAAGTGATTTGCCCATGGTCACATGGTCACTCGATAGAGACAATCTGTTCCCGTTCCACATTAATTCTTTTCTCAAAAACCTTTGGTCCTTATTTGGACTTGACTTTCAAGCAAATATTTTCAAATTTTCCCTCATTAATATATTTAGCATTCTGATCTTCCCACATACTTTTAGCAGTTAGAATGGTGATAAACAACACATTCTAGAGCCAGTCTCTCTGAATTTGTTACTTGAGGTGGATAAAAGTTTTGCCACCCCCAAAATATGGCTTTTGGGATTTTGATTATAAGCTGGTAATTAAGGAAAGAAAGACTCAGAAATAAATTTTGACCTTTCCCCTTTATTGCCTAAAGGAATTTAGATAGAGAACATGTTCCAGGAAAGGAGATATATATCATCGCAGATAACCATAGTTCAGTATGAGTTAGTGTGTGATAGACAAGGCCTCTCTTTGTCCCATTGTGAAAGATGGCCCAGCAAACTTTTATTTACTAAACCTTTGCTTCGCCATAACTATGTAAATTGCCTTTCTGCCCTCAGAAGTCCCAAACCTCAACATTTTTCTTTTCCTTAGCTCCAGAATGGCATATAAGCCTCAACTGCCATAGAGTCTCATATTCCTATGGGCTTGCACATGAAGATACATATTACACTTGGTTATTTTCTCCTGTTAAATGTGTCTCAAAGGTTTGATTATTAGCCCAGATGGAAGAACTTAGAAAGGTAGGAAATTAAAAATTTTGATCCTTACACAGGCTACTTTGCTTACTAGTGTGACCTTAAATAAACTAAAAATCTTCTCCACAGTAAAGAAAAAACTAACAGACTGAAAAGGCAACCTGTAGTTTCCTCAAAAAATTAAAAATACATCAAACATATGATCCAGTAATCCCACTTCCGGATATTAACCCAAGATAATTAAAATCAGTATATCAAAGTGATATCTGTACTTTTCATATTTATTGCAGCATTATTCCCAATGGCCAAGATGTAAAAATAACCTAAATATACATCAACAGATGAACGGATAGAGAAAATGTGTTATATACATACAATGGGATATTATTCAGTATTTTTTTTTAAAAGGAAATCCTTCAATATGCAAAACATGGGTAAACCTAGAGAATATTATGCTAAGTGAAATAAACCAGTCACAGAAGGGCAAATATTACAAGATTCTGATACCTTTGTAATGAATCTAGTTGTTGAATAGCTGGAAAGGAGCAAAATGAAGGTCAAATAGTATAAGCCTGCCATTTGTGCAGCTTTGCCAGGAAGCTGCAGTTTAACACTCTCCAAGAAGCCACTGGTCTATTCTCTGAAGATTGCTGGGGGAAGAAACTGGAGAGGGGAGAGCAGATACATACCCAGTAATATCTGGGTGAAATAGGGAAGGTACTTGCCTGGGAACAGATCATTGGCCAGAGCAGGCACGGCCACTGAAAGCACTGGGAGATTTGGGATATTTAATCCCCTAAACAAAAGAGTTCACTCTCTTATGTTCTTTTAGACTCTTGGGGCTCTTGTTGCATGGAGTGTGTTCTCTTGGCTCTCTTGCATTCATCTACATAGCTTACAGCTTTGTGGGCCCCACAGAATGGACTAACGGACTGCAACAACCTGATGTTGTACCAGACCCAATTCTAGCATGGCTTTGCTTCTAGCTCTACAGAATCCCCAGCTGTACATCTCCCAGGACTGGATTAAAGGAAATGGGACTTTGGGAACTCAAAGACATAATTCCACACAAATAAAAATCACAATCTTCCTATGCGAGTTTCAGAAAATTCTTTTTCTCCAGATATAGTAAGGACCCAACTCCCAGCATCCTGTGGGGAAGAGGACACTTCACGTCCACCAATAACAATTCCACTTCTATATGGTATCTAAATAACCAAATTCACAGAAGCAGAGGGCAGGATGGTGGTTGCCAGGAGCTTGGGGGGAGGGGAAATAAGAAATTTTTGCTGAATGGGTATAAAATTTCCGCTATACAAGATAAAATAATTTCTAGAGATCTGCTCTGCAATAGTATGCATATAGTTAAAAATACTGTATTGTACATTTAAAAATTGGTTAAAAGATAGATGTTCTTACTAAAATATAAATATTAGAAAACACATTTAGAATATGATGAGGCAGATTACTTAACACTATCAATCATCAAATTATGGAATAATTTCCCAAAACAAATGTGAAAATGCCATCATTTACCATTTGAAACCTGAATGAAGAAAGGCACACAAACACATAAAAGCTGGCCTTGTTCTTCTCCATATGTGGGTGACAAGACCCACACAAGCATGACCTAAGATACCAGTGGATTCTACAGTCTGTGGGCACTCTTCAAACCGTCCGCTAGTGTGAGGGAAGAAAGAAGAAGATAGGGCTGGAATTGATTACTCACATCAGGATAACCTGCTCAGCATGTTCTTGGCTCAGTTACAACTTCCTGAGGGTGTTAGGAAAGGAGCACCTACCACCAAGTCCCACACTCCTAGCTTGAAAAAGTTTCCAGGGAATACAGGAGGCTCTTTTCCACTCCACCCTACATTTGGAATTGGCCCATGTTTTGTTTTAAATTAAAAACAACTTGTGTAGAACAAACCATACAATCTATAAAGGACAGACAGAACCTTAGACCAAGGGTCAGCAAGCTACGGCCCAAGGACCAAATCTGACACACAGCCTGTTTCTCTCATCCAAAGTCACTCATTTGCATAGTGTCTATGCTTTCACAGTAAAAGAGCAGAGTTAAGCAGTTGCAACAGAGACTCATAGCCCACAAAGCCTAAGAATTATCTGATCTTTTACAGGCTTGACCCCTACCTTAGACTAATAATTTTGAGAATAGTTACTCAAGCATCTCAAAGGTAAAATATGTAAAAATTATTGCTTTCTTCCCATCTTTTACATTGTGGAACAGAAAAACTAATAATTTGAATGGAATATGCTAACTTTCTATGAATGTAGTCTAAAACAGTGTTAGAGTCTGGAGCACACATCTGTGGACACTAAAGTAGTGTTATGATTAAGAATAAAAGCACTAGCCCTGCCAGGTCACTCAGTTGGTTGGAGCATTGTCCCATGCATTAAAAGGTTGTCAGTTTGATTTCCGGTCAGGGCACAGACCTAGGTTGTTGGGTTCACCCTCTGTCAGGGTACTTGGGGGAGGAAACTGATTGATGTCTCTCTCTCTAATTTCTTCTCTCTCTCATTTTCTTTCTCTCTCTCTCACCCTCCTCTCTCTCTAAAATTCAATAAACATCCTTGGGTGAGTATTAAAAAAAAAAAAAAAAGAATAGAAGCACTCAAATCAGAAAGACCTGAGTGTGAATTCCAGATTTGCTCTTAACCAGCTGTGTAAACTTTGGCAAGTTACTTAATATTATCCATCTCATAAGGCCTTTGAAGGAGTAATTGAATTACTGTATGTAAAGTATTTAGCACAGTACTTGGAAATTAGTATGGGCTAAAAAAACTACCTATTTTTATGGTTACTACATTATAAAAAATTAAACTCTGGGAAACTACTTTCCAAGACTAAAGATGAAGCTGATAAAATACAAATGCACCTCTTGTTAAGCATTACCTGTACAGTCTTCTCTGGCATCTCCACAGAGATGGCCATCATTTGCAGGACTTCTGGTTGAATTCACATCTGCCACAACACAGTGGAGGATCACCAGACCTTCAAGTTCAAAACAGAACCAAAACAAACATGAAAACTTGAATATTTCCTCAATGTGAAATACTCTATCAAAATCATGACCCATTTATAAAAATAACAAGCCTGTGGCTTTCATTTCCAATTCATTCTGCCACAGTGGGTGATGTGTACACGGGCCAGCATATCTCACTTTTTAAAGCTCAATGCAGAAGACAGAATTTTCAAGACAGCATAACTATACACCTTAAGTGAGGAAACTTGACCCTAACTTGAGATGGAACATTGTTATACAAATAGAAAATAGAGTTTTTAGCCATGACATGAATACATTACTAAATATCCAGGGAGAAAGAATAATGAACCCATATGGCAACATACTTTCTGCATTCCACACAGTCCCCATGTTTCTCAGGTATTAACTATTGAGAGTCCTTCCTTCTGAAAAGATGCAACCTAGATAGTCAATTCATAGGAATTATTTTAAAACTTCAGATACCTCCCTTACTTATCTCTGTCTCTGAGAAAGAAAAGCCTCATGAAAAGGTAAGGGGTAGAGAGAAACACTGTGTGTAGTTGAAAGAGCTTAGAAAACAATGTGTAGTTTTTGCATGGGCCTGATTATAAAACTAACTGTAAAAAAGTTACTTATGAGTTAATCAGGAAAATTTGACACTAACTGGGCATTAGATATATTAAGAAATTGTTATCGTTTATTTTATTTATTTTTTCTTTATCCTTACCTGATTTATCTTCAGATAGAGCGGGAGGGAGAGAGGGGGGAGGAGAGAGAGAGAAACATCAATGTGAGAGAGACACATCGACTGGCTGCCACCCACATGACCCCAACCAGGATTGAGGACAAACTACAACCGAAGTACATGCCCTTAGTGGGAACTGAACCCAGGTCTCTCTGGTCTGAGGTCTGATGCTCTAACTGCTGAGCCAAACTGGCCAGGGCAGGAATTATTATAGTTTAAAGTGTGACATTGATATTGTGGCTTACGTTAACATAACAGAGTTCATATCTCATAGAGATTTGTATTTAAATATTTATTAATGTAAGTAATATATCTGAAATTTGTTTTAAAACAATCCAATAAGAAAAGGGGGTGCAAGGTAATGAGGTAACATTATAAATGGAACAAGATTAGCCACAAATTGATCATTGTTGAAGCTGGGTGGCAGGTATATCAAGATTCACTATGCTGTTCTCTCTACTTTTATATATATTTGAAAATGTCTGTAATAAGAAGTTGGAGGGCTTCTGTTCAAGATGGATGGCTGCGTAGGAAAATACAGTGCTCACATCCTCCCACAACCACATCGAAAATACAACTAAACTACAGAGAAACCATCATTCAGAACCACCTGAAATGTAGCTGAACGGAAGTCCCACAACTAAAGATATAAAGAAGAGGCCACATCAAGAGTAGTAGGAGGGGAAGAGATGTAAAATGAGCTAGTCACATACTCACATGTGGCAAATAAAAACTGGGAGATATCTCAGCTGTGGAGGTTCCCCTGATTAGTGAGGGGTCTCAGCCTCACACCAGGCTCCCCAACCCAGGGTTCCAGTGCCAGGAAGAGAAGTCCCCATAACTCATGGCCATAAAAAACAGTGGGATTGTGGCTGAGAGAGACTGAGGGCACCTGGCATCCCAGGTAGTTCCTCTTAAAGGGCCTGCACCCAAATTTACTTGGACATACTACTTCTGTATTTTAGTGCTATGGCAGCAGCTCAAAAGGTATCAGGGACATATGGGAAGAACTGAAAAGTCTGGCACCAGGGTGCGAGTTGGAGGAACAGCTTTTTTCCAGACAGAAATGCTGGCAGAGACCATTGTTTCTTTCTGAGTCCTTCCCCCACAAAGCCAGGAGGCAGGAGCCATGTCCGAGTCTCCATTAATCTGACTATTACTGTTCACCTACCCTGGTGATTCTGAGACCCCACCCCACAAACCTATTGGCCCACCCAAGCTCTTCCATATGAATAGCCTGTCCTGGCTCATGTATCAGACTTTCTTAAAATCCTTCAAACAAGCATATCTGGCCTCTGCATTCCCCATACTTCTTGCCGAGTGGCCACAGGGCTGGCACTAGTGGCAGCCAGCCTTGGTTCACAGCTTGGCCTCCCCAGGGCACCTCCAAGCCCAGCATAAACCGCAGCCATCATTGATTGCTTTGTAGCTCATGGCGGTGGCCCCAGGCAGAACACAGGCTGTGGCTGACCTTGGCTTACACTTTCTGAAAGGTCCCAGAGCCAGAACACCCAGTGAACAGCTTCAGACCACATTGAAGCAACACCCAACCACCTCCACAAGGAACACACTCAAGGGGCAGACTCAATGTGCACCATACCCCTGATGAAGTAAGTCCTATTCCATGTGGTAGGCCCCTGCATAGTTGATTATCCATGCTGGTCATAGCTGGTCCTTCCAGCCAATCACCCTGGGGGTTACATCCCTCTCATTGATGTGCCAACAGCAATCAGGAGAATATACAACAGGAGAATATACACAGTCCACATGGAGAGACGCACCTGGTGTGCTCAGCTCAGGTAAACAGGGAGGCTGTGCCACTGGACTCTACAGGACACCTACTACATTAGGCCACTCTACTAAGTCCAGGAGGCATAGCAGCTGTACCTAATGCATAGAAAGAAACACAGGGAGCCTGCCAAAATGAGGAGACAAAAGAACATATCTCAAATGAAAGAACAGAACAAAACTCCAGAAAAAGAACTAAACAAAATGGAAACAAGCAATCTACTAGATGCAGAGTTTTAAAGATTGGTTATAAGGATGCTCAGTAAACTTATGGGAAGAGTAGAGAACTTTAAAAACATAAAAAGGCATAAAAACCATAAAAAACAAACAAACAAACAAAAAACAAAATAAACCAGTCAGAAATCAGGGATACACTAACTGAAATGAAGAATAATTTACAGGGAATCAACAGTAGAGTAGATGAAGCCAAGAACCAAAACAGTGATTTGGAATATAAGAAAGCATAAAACACCCAAGCAGAACAGCAAAAAGAAAAAAGAATCCAAAAAAAATGAGGATAGTGTATTGAACATCTGGGACAACTTCAAGTGTACCAACATTCACACCTTAGGGGTGCAAGAAGGAGAAGATACAGCAATAAATTGAAAACTTATTTAATAAAATAATGATAGAAAACTTCCCTATCCCAGTGTAAAAAACAGACATACAAGTGCAGGAAGCACAGAGTCCCAAACAAGATGAACCCTAAGAGGCCCACACCAGGACACATCATAATTAAAATGCAAAAGGTTAAAGACAAAGAATCTTAGAAACAGCAAGAGGAAATCAGTTAATTACTTACAAGGGAGCTCCCATACAACTGTCAGCTGATTTCTTAACAGAAACTTTGCAGGCCAGAGGGATTGACAAAAATATTTAAACTGATAAAAAACAAGGAACTACAACCAAGATTACACTACCCAGCAAAACTATCGTTTGGGACATATAGAGAGCTTCCCAGACAAGAAAAAGCTAAAAGAGTTCTTTACCACCAAACCAGTATTGCATGAAATGTTAAAGGGTCATCTTTAAGGAAAAGAAGAAAAACATAAAAAAAGAACAATAAAATGACAACAAATACATATCTATCAATAATTGAATATAAAAAAACAAAATAAATGAACAAAAAAACCAGAAAAAAAGTCATAGATATAGAAAACATTTTGATAGTTGCCGGATGAGAGGGGTAATAGGTTGGTTGGTTGAAAAAGGCGAAGGGATTAAGAAGTACATATTGGGAATTACTCGCAAGACCTGCGGGGTGATGAAGCACCAGAGAGGCCCGTGCCACCCAGCAGGGACTGTGCCATCCAATTACCCGCAGGACCTGCTGGGTGCTAAAGCACCAGAGAGGACTGTGCAACCCAGCAGGGACTGTGCAATCTAGTTACCCTTGGGACCTGCTGGGTGCTGAAGCACCAGAGAGGCTTGTGTGACACAGCAGGGACTGTGCAATCCAGTTACCCGTGGGACCTGCAGGGTGCAGGGGCACCAGAAAGGCCTGTGTGATCCAGCTGTGCACAAGACAGGCTTAGAGGATGTAAAATGGAGGTGGAGTGAATAAAGCTACACAGCCAATCTCCCAGGACCAAACAGGAAGTATAACTAAAATAAAGACAAATCCTTGGAAAAAAGCAACAGAAAAGCAGCAGGACAGGACCATGACAGTAGCAGATTTAGCTGTGAGCAGCACCCTTGAAGGATAAAGACCAAGACTGCTCCACAGTGCAGAGAGCCTGGACAGAGCGCTAAAATAGCCACAGCCACTCACCTGGGAGCTACGGCAGAGGGAGGGCAGTCTGGGCTGAAACTCTGTGGGGACACCTGGGATTTGGAGGGCACTCAGAGATTTTGCTGAGTTGTGACCACAAAGGACAGTGGCCAGTGTGCTCCTTCCCTGAGCTGTGGGGAAAAGTAGCAGCTTCCCACTCATAGATTCAGCCTTTCTCAGGTGAGGCAAAGAAATAAAAATTGAGGCTCATTAACAACCAGCATTTATCCCACCCTCTGGAAATCCTCTTATGCAGAACACCAGGGCTACATTCTAAGGCACTGAGTAACTGAGACTACTATCCACCAGGAAAAAGCTGGAGGACAACAGAACCTTTCCTGGGCTTGCAAATATACCCAGGAAAGTAAGACTTGACAGTGGTGTTTAACATGGGCCCACCCAGGCTCATCTAAACCCAGTAGAGGGAGCTACAAACAGCAGAACACCAACACCCACAGGGAAAATTAGACAGGCTCCAAAACCCACTGAGATAGCCAAAAGGGTGAAACAAAGAAACAAATTCTAAATGAAAGAACAAGAGAACTCTATCAAAGATGAGATCAATGAAATGCAGCGAGAAAATTATCAGAGGTAGAGTTCAGAGCCATGATCTTGAGGAATCTCAACAGCATGAGTAAGGACATCAGCACCATGAGTAAAGATATAGAAACATTGAAAACCAACCAAGTGGAAATGAAGAATGA